CACACATAAAAAGGGACTGCGTTGCCTTCATTATGTGGGAATAAATTAATCTCAGATCGAAACTCCACTTAATTTTCTTTTTGTGACACTACTTGGAGTGCTAAGTGTTGAGACCTTTTGAATTTGCAGGTCAAGGATCGTCATAATGGGAATCTCTTGATAGACGAGGAGGGACATATTATTCATATTGATTTTGGTTTCATGCTTTCCAACTCTCCTGGAGGGGTAAATTTTGAGAGTGCACCATTTAAGCTGACGAGGGAGCTCCTTGAAGTATGATAGAAGCTTGTAACTTATTTTAACTTTCCTATATCCTAGATGTAGGTGTTGAATTATATTTTGATGGAGTTTAAATCTCGTTAAGTTTGTTGTGGGAACAATGCTAGGTGATGGATTCTGATGCTGAGGGAACTCCCAGCGAGTTCTTCGACTATTTCAAGGTAATTAACTGATAGCATGTTACTTTCGCTTGCCTACCGGGACTTCTCCAATTTATATTGGCTTATTTATTATCTACGTATATTTTTGAATTCTTCAGGTGCTATGCATTCAAGGGTTTCTTACTTGTCGGAAGCATGCAGAGCGTGTTATACTTCTTGTGGAAATGTTGCAGGTAATGGCACCTATCTAATCTTACAGATGTTTATCTAGATGATTTGACAATAAATGGCTATTGCCTGTCGGAAGCCATTCATCTGTGTCACTCAGGTTTATGCATGCATGGCTCTTACTCCCTCCGTTCCTAAATATTTGTCTTTCTAGAGATTTCAACAAGTGACTACATACGGAGCAAAATGAGTGAATCTACACTCTAAAATATGTCTATATACATCCGTATGTGGTAGTCCATTTGAAGTCTCTAAAAAGACAAATATTTAGGAACGGAGGGAGTATTATTTACCAATTTTTTGTTATGTACATTAATTTTTTGAATTGTTGTAGTATATTCCTCTTCATATGCCCTTTTATATTAACCAAATTTACCCACATTATCTCAGTCTTCATCTAGTTATGAAGTTTTACTTGTCTTATTTCCTCTATTTCTCCGTTGCATTCAAACTTGAATCTTGTAACTTCCGGTGCAGTAGTTATTTAAATCCCTCCGTTCCAAAATATGTGTCGTAGTTAAAAGTTTGAACTAAAACCGACAAGTATTTTGGAAAGTAGGAAGTATTTAATTGTATTCAGTTTCCTGATTAGCAAAGGAATGAGGAACACCATCATGATCATGACAAAAATCATTTTATATGTTTATCCTTTGATCAGGATTCTGGCTTCCCGTGCTTTAAAGGTGGTACTCGCACTATACTGAACTTGAGGAAGAGGTTCCACTTGAGTCTCACTGAAGAGGTCAGTCAATTGTTTTTCATTTTTATCATGTCCAGAGGGTTCTTACTATAATGTTATGATGGTTGCAGCAATGTGTATCGCTGGTGCTCTCATTGATCAGTAGCAGCATGGATGCCTGGCGTACTCGGCAGTATGATTACTACCAGAGAGTATTGAATGGGATTTTATGATGTACTCCAGGAGCGCTTAGCACTTGACTCGTTCAGAAACCAATTTGTTCGTATCCTCGAGCAAATCTTTGGAACAAACAGATCAGTTTGGGGCTGATCTAGCCTGCTATTCCCGCCATGATTGGTATGAGTGGTACCAGGTAATGGAGCAATGTGTTTTGCATGTTGCACGCCAGGAGTCTACCGTGGAACCCAAGCGTCTGCATGTGCTCGTGTATTATTTCACACCCTGTGGAGATGGTTGAGAAAGTGTATAGTCATCGGCAGTTAGCTAGTTAGGGCTTCACACTAGGAGGTTTGCTACTGGTGAAGCTGTTAAGTGTATTGGAATTTGGAACCCGAGCTGCGGTGCTGTACAGACACTAGATTTGCGTAGCTTGGGCAGGGGTTTAGGGGAGGACCGAGCCATACGTGAAGTGAACAAGTGTAAATTAAAGACGCATGGAAGCTGGGAGTCACCTGGGGCAGCAGCAAGGGTTGTGTTTGCGCGATTCTGTGACATCCCAATATAGCATCGGATTAGACGATGACAATGTGCATTGTAAATTACCATTACTGTACAGGGCCCAACAATAGGAGCTCGTTGTCCCGTTTTCCAGACTTTCGTTTTATTCAGCAGTAGTACTGCAGTTGGCGCCAGAAGCTGCACCTAAGTGATGCCCTGAGAGAATATCACATGGAAACCAAGTTTCGGTGGAAACTGATGAAAACCACATGGAAATGATGTTTTGAAGTTTTGCAAAAATCTCAAATACGAGGTCTTAAGAGTGATTTTCTATTAGTATGTGAAAACTTTGAGTTCAAATACATTAATATTTTTTGAGGTACGAAAAAGACAAGCAGTAATGAGTAGCATCATACAGTAAACATCACTATTCATGGCTGAATTTGTTTTTTTAATAGCTCGTAAATTTGGTAATGTGTTTGAACTTGAAATTTCACATGCCAATACAACATCACTGCCTTATCATAGGTTTTTTCTGAAACTTCCATCAGTGGTTTCATGAAGTTCTCTTTGAAACTTGATTTTCATGTGATGTTCTCTCGTGATGCCCTAGTGGCAGGAGCAGTACATCTTGAAAATTCTAGTCTTGGGTGATAGTGCTCTGGCTGAATTACTATTGTGGATTATTGTTTTGTGTCAGATAAATCACATTTTTCAATAAAATGCGCTTTTATGAATTTAAAATGTAGCATCAAGTGAATACAAACAGTGACGGAGCTATGGCAAAACCAAAGTGGCCATGGCGCCCAGGATCTGTATGTTTTTCTTTCATATATGCATCGGTCGCCCATAAGGCTGGTCTACTACCACAGTACCACCTAAGAGCATCTCCAACAGTCGCACAATATAAGCGCCGTGCTGAAAAAAAATATGTTTTTTGCATGCACGCAGCTGCTCCGGGCGCTCTAGTGGAGGCACAAAAAACGTGCGCGTAGCAAAAGTGGTTTAGCATATGGGGCGAAACAGTATTGTGCGCCGCTTATTTTGTGCGCACGCTCCCGCGCGCTGCACAATCGAGCGCCCACGCCGCGACTTCCACCTACCCACAATCCAGGTGCTGGCGCCGCCGCACGCACCACTCCATTTGCTCCGGCGACCCGACAATGCTTCCCTGGCCTATCCCCACGCCGTCGCTGCTTCGTCCGTCTCCCTCTAGTCGCCTCCGCCCCTCGCGCACGCCATTCCTCTGACAAACAGCGCCTGGCCGCCCACTGTCGTTCGACGCCCACAAGGTGTTCGACAAAACGCTTGCAAGGTATGTACTGCTTCAACTTCATATTTTTTACATGAATTTGGTGCATGTTGTTTGTAGTTTTTATAGACTAGTTTAAATTCAACAATGTAGATGAGTTCGTCATACGATTCTTCCAAAGAAGAATTTGATATTGAAGAGGAGGAGGACCTTGCAATGATCCTAGCTATGCACATCAATAAAAAACCGAAGCACGGTGGTTCGGTTATGGGTCGGCAGAAAATTTGGAGGAACAAGATCGATGCCGATAACAGATTGATGAGGCACTATTTTGTGGAGAATCCCACATACCCCGAGTCGTACTTCCGGCGCCGGTTTAAGATGAGCACCGAGTTGTTCACGCGCAGCGCATTGCAGAGAAACTGGCGAGCCATGATCGGTTTTTCAGCAAAGGAGTAATGCTGCCGGAGAACTCGGGCATAGCACCTTTCAGAAGGTGACACCACTTTGCGTATGTTGGCATACGGTGTTCCGGTTGATCTAGTTGGTGACCACTTGGCCATGGGTGAGAGTCAAACCATCATGTGTGTCAAGCGCGTCGCAGTCGAAATTGTGTAAGTGTTTGACCCGGAGTATTTGAGATCTCCCAATGCTGAAGGCGTCGCAAGGCTTTTGGAGATGAACAAAGCTCGCGGGTTCCCAGGTATGCTTGGCTCAATAGATTGCATGCATTGGAGTTGGAAGAACTGTCCTAAGGCATGGCATGGACAATTCCACGGCCAAAAAAAGGGTTCCACTATAATCCTTGAAGCGGTGGCCCATCAAGAGACTTGGATTTTGCATGCATTTTTTGAAATGCATGGATCTTCGAATGACATCAACGTTGTTTGAAAGGATCTATATGGTTGACTAGAGGGGGGGGGGGGTGAATAGGCAACTACCATTTTTTTGCTTTTATTAACAATTTAGGTTTAGCAAAAAATAGGTTGTCTAGATGTGCAACTAGGTGACCAACCTATATGATGCTAATAACAAAACAACAACAAGTGCAAGCAAAGGATGCAACACAATAATGACTTGCACAAAGTAAAGGGAAGAGATAACCACAAGTGGAACCGATGGAGACGAGGATGTGTTACCGAAGTTCCTTCCCTTTGGAGGAAGTACGTCTCCGTTGGAGTGGTGTGGAGGCACAATGCTCCCCAAGGAGCCACTAGGGCCACCGTATTCTTCTCACACCCTCACACAATGCGAGATGTCGTGATTCCACTAGTGGTGCCCTTGAAGGCGGCAACCGAACCTTTACAAACAAGGCTGGGGCTCTCTCCATAACCAAATTGGAAGCTCCCAACGAAACCACGAAGCTTCGCCACAATGAAATATGGCTTCGAGGTGACCTCAACCATCTAGGGTGCTCAAACACCCAAGAGTAACAAAATCCACACAAGAAAGTATGGGGGAATCAAATATCCTTTGGTGGAAGTGTAGATCTAGGTCTCCTCCTTCAATCCCTAGTAAATCAACAAGTTTGAGTGGCTAGAGAGAGAGATCGGGCAATAAAGCTGGCAGGGCATCAGTGGTGGAGAGAGAGAGAGGCAAGAGGTAAGGGGGTAGGTCGAAGAACCCCCTTTATATAGGAAACTCTAAGATCCAACCGTTACAGCAATTTTTACACTACAGCGGTACAACCGCTTCGGTACAACCGGGAATCATGCGAAGCTGCTGAAACCCTAGCAGGCGGTACAACCGGTCACTAGAGCGGTAGTACCGGTTGTTAAGAACAACCGGACCAACCGCTTCACTACCGCTCCACAACCATCTAGAAACATAAGGGAGTCACCCCTATGGGCGGTGGTCGAGCGGTAGTGCGTCCGGAACAACCGCTCGCTCCAGGTGCATGGGGTGGCTAAGTCCCAAGCGGTAGAACCGCTCAGGACAACAGGTAGTACCGGTATGCGGAGCACAACCGGAACAACCGGGCCACCACGGCCCAAGCACCACTCCATCACAGAACCTCGTCCGGTGGTTGGGCGGTACCCGAACCGCCCAAGTGCAACCATATGGTTCTACCATTGGGCGGGCGGTACCACCGCCCTGGGGCAGCGGTACAACCGCTTGGCAAGAACCTGGGAGGTGCAACCCCAGGGTATCACTCCTGGGGCGGTGATTGCAACGGTACAACAGGCTAGCGGTACAACCGCCCTAGAAGGTGGTACAACCGTTGAGGAGAAGCAACTGCACTAGCAAGAATCATAGGGGACCTCTCTCTACATAGAACGGAATGAGATGGTGGGTGACAAAGAGAGTGTACGTGCAATGATTCACCCAATGCCTTCCGATGTGGATTCCCTCTTCATAGTATGGATTCCTACGACCAAAGAAATAAAATGCATAGACAACTCCGTCTTCGATCTTTTCCTTCCAGAGAGAATACCTAGTCGATGCGAACCTAAACAAAGAAAACCTGAAGAACTAATCACAAGATTAGAATGCAAGGAGGGTTGTCATCATCACCCAAAACACGGGAAATGTTCTAACAATCTCCCCCTTTTTGGTGGATGATGACAACAACGAGATTTGCACAAAAAGGTCTGGAAAATATAGACGGGCTCCCCTGGATGTGTGCACTATTTTGAATTTGCTTTCAGAATGCAAAGTCACACATTAGGATCAAAGCTCCCCCTAGAGTTTATAGACCCACCATAACTACTAACTGAGATAAACAATAAGCATATAAGAAAGGAAAGGCAAGCTAAGAATAAACAATAGATAGATAGAGTAAGCATGTCTCACACCATGCACGTCGAGTCACAAACCACAAGGTCCACAAACTTAAGAAGAAAAGAACTCAAGTTCAACACACAACTCGACGAAGAAACACAACCCAAGCAACTCCCATGCAAATCCCGAGACCTAATAGAACTCTCTCCCCCTTTGGCATCAAGACACCAAAAAGGAAAAGAGTGATGCTAACGCCCCAGAGCTCAGTAGATCTCGTCTGATCGCATCTGAATCACTATCTTCGGGCTCATCATCTTCTTCCATATCATCATCAACAGCAGCAGACATGGAGGTGGCAGGAAGGCCAGATGCCTCAGCCTCATCATCAGTCCAGGTGTTGTGCCTAGAGATCCACCGGTCCTCTGGAGTGATGCTCTTTGCTGACCCACTCTTCACAGCCATATTGAGATGCTTCATCATGGAAATCTGATGGCGCCGAGCAAGCTTCTCATTGACATGAGCCTCATACATGTTCTTCTAAATATCTATCAAAAGACAGAAGGTCTTCTTCACTTTAGCAGT